TATATATATATATATATATATATATATATATAAAAAAAAAAAAAACAAATATATATATATATATATATATATATGTGTGTGTGTGTGTGTGTGTGTGTATATATATATATATATATATATATATATATATATATATATATATATAGACACACACACACACTTTCCTCTAGGATTTTTTCCAGCTGTGGCGGCAGACTTTGTTGGGCATTTTACACAGATCTACCACTACATGTGGAGTTATTTCATTGACAAATGTTATGGGCGCAGTATTAAGTCGAGATCGCTTTCATGTAATAGCCTACGAGCATGTGAATCTCTGCTTGAGCGCTGATTTCCTCTATTCGTGCACAAAACTTCTTGCACGCCCTCAAATAGACGCTGCTCAAGTGCAGATTTTCTTGCACACCCTCAAATAAACGCGGCTGAAGTGTTATTTAGTGCGTTTATGTACCGAGTATGTCTCTAACATTTATTAGATTTGCTAGGTATATTTATGAATGTCTCCGATAGACTTGCGGAGCAGACCGCTGCATTAATGCGTCCTGAAGTAAAGTGAAATGGCTATAAACTCCAGCGAGATAGAGTCATTACATGCAGAGCCACTGACTTTATCTATATATAAAGTATAATTATGGAAACTGTGTTGATCATAACTGAAAGCTACGCCGTGTTCGCTGGCCTCACGCATCACGCACCTGTCAGTCAAGTCACCTTAAAGGGTTAAACAGAACGCACAGCTCTACTACGGTCACAGAAAAGCCATTTTTATTTTTTTAAACACAATTTTAAGAACAAAATTATTAGCCCCTATAGTCTATTTTTGCTTTCGATAGTCTACAGAACAAACCATCATTGTACAATAACTTGCCTAATTCAAATTCATTAAATTTAAAGAAAACAGACAATGAACAAATGAGGAGTTTTACAAAGTTTAATGAACACTGAAAAATGTTTCACTTACTATATTGAACACAAATGAAAATATTTCATGTTTAATGTATGAATTTTTTTTAACAACGGAACGGTCTGGTGGAATGAAAGAAAGCTGATCCCAAATTGTGCTTGTGTTGGCATTTAAATTGCTGATTGGCTCACAGAGAGAAGCTTATAGAGGCAAGCTAGAGTTCGACTTAGTAGATAAAACATTTTATGCTTTTAAATAAGAAGTCTAAAAATGTATACAACTTGTATAAAAAAACATCCCATAATGTAAACAAGTTGTCATTTAATAAGAATATGTGAATAACTACATTTTGACAAAAATGTCAGATAGAACCTTTTTATTCTATGGTGATTTTATTTTAACTATTTAAATAAATGTGATATAATTTTTGAAATATATTTTTCAATTTAATTTACTTCTCAGATTTTCGAAGCTTTTCGCAAATTGATAGTATCATTACTACAGTCACATAATCTTTCAGAAATCACTTTAGTGTGTTTAGTGTATTTGAAGAAACAGTGCGTCTGCAGTTTTAATTCCAGCTTCAATACTTTTTTAGTCTAGTGATTGTTTTATGACATTAAAATAGATTCATTAATATTTCTCAAATGTGTAATAATCTACATTTTTATGTTTAAAAAAAAAAAAAAAAACTTATGTTGTTTTCAGGCTGCTTTTATATTCAATTGAAAATTTGGTAAAAGAGCAATGTTGCTAATAAATAAACTAGAAAAGTAAAAATAAATACTTAACCGTTGAGCACCAACACTAATCCCATAATAACTGATAATAGAGCATCAATCAGAATGTTATAGTCTTATAAGAAGTGTGTGTGCATATATGTTAATTATTCATCCATTCATTCATTCATTCATTCATTCATTTCATTTTCTTTTCGGCTTTCTTTTCGCCACAGCGGAAAGGACCGCCAACTTATCCAGCATATGTTTTACACAGCTGATGCCCTTCTAGCTGCAACCCAACACTGGGAAACACCCATACACTTATTCACACACATGCAGCTTACCCAATACAGTGTTTAATTCATGCATTGAAAAACTTGGCTAAAATTGCTTTTTGGCTGAGATAAACATAAACACCCTTTTAACAACCATTTTAAATGAAACACATGAGCATATACACACTAAATATCATCATAAGGTTGTAAAATGTGTTCAGTGTAACATTGTGTTCTAACTTAGTTATCACAATGATCGTTTACATAATATAGTGTAGAGTTCAGACTCATTAAACCTCTTTTCAGGCACTCATGTATTGTCACAGACGACAGGGCACTCAGTCTCTCCCCAACATGTGCCTAATGGGTGATATGTTGAAGGGAAGAGGATGTGGACCCTCCCTGCCTCCCTCTTGCTGAAGCCCTGGACTACAGTAAACCCACCCACCAACTCGGCTGCTCACTCTCTTTCATCAAGCTTGCTACAATTTTTATAATCAGCCTCCCCCAAGAAAAACAAAATGCCATTTTCGCCCATTGTTGCCGATCAGAATAAACGACTATAAACAATGGCCAGGGAAAAAAGTACAGTGCTTCCTGCGGAAACAACCTTCCCCCAACACACACAGTCTCACCATCACTGCCGAAACCCAACACAAGTTCTGTTTTGTTCTCATTTGCAGGAGGTTCACACAGACCCCTTTTTAAGCTGCCTTACGTCACCTTGATTTTCTTAGTTCTATTCAGAGTCCAGGATGACTTTCCCCAATGCTGCGCAACATAAATACGGTTCCTTATCTGAGACATCAGGTACTCTGTCTTCCCAGCAAACCCTGAGCATTTTCAGACTTCCTCTGTCCAGAGAGTCTTGAGAAAAAAGATGACATTTTCTTTGGCTTCGTCCATTAATTCTTTGTTTTGTTTTTCATCTATTCCTGCCATTTTTACATTCTTGCTTTTCTTTATCTTCTCTTGTTAGTTTTTATAGAAATACTTGAAAGGCAGAAAATTGTACCTCTTGAGCTAGAGACCTATTGGGTCAAGTGTTGTGGGTCCCTATTCATACATCTACCCAACCATTGTATCCTTCCTCTGTGTTCATCCACTGTATCCATCCATCCATCCACAGTGTCCATTCACCCACTGTATATACTTCATCCACCCATCAATCCATCCGTCCATCTGATCAACCCATCCATTTGATCAATCATCTATCTGATCAATCCATAATCCACAGGATCTATCCAACTAATCCATATCCATTCATCCTTCTGTATGATCCATATACATCCATCCACCAACTTCATCTAGCCACTAATCCATTCATTCATCCATCCGATCCATGTCCTTCCATCCACCTGATCCATCCTGCTTCCATCTATTCATCCACCCGATCCATCAAACCATACATTCATTCATCCACCCAATCCATCTAGCGGTCAATCCATTCATCCATCTGATCCATATCCATTCATCTATCTGTATGATCCATATTCATACCTCCATCCATCCATCCACCCAATCCATTCATCCATCCAGCCATCCATCCATTCATCCACCCAATCCATCCACATGATCCATCCAGCCGTCCATC